AGAGTAAGAACTTCACAGTGACACAAAACATAAGAGAAAATTAGCTTTATTTGGAATTTACCAGAAATCAGCAGCAAACGAATCAGAACAGGAAAACAGCTGAAAGATTCTAACTTTTATAGATTTTCATTGATAGACGATATGATAAATAATGAATTTTCAGATAATGACCAACAGTACCCAAAACTGCATGTATTGAAACGAGGTGATCTATTTAGTTTGATTCTAGTGAAAACATGCAATATGTAGTTGGAACATTATGTGAAATAATTAATATTAGATTATCAAAAGCTTATTTCATATTGATACATGTTGAAGGAAGTAGTTAGTATCACTTATTATCAATCAAAAAAATCTATTAAAGTCATTCAGTATGTAATATTTTGATAACATTTCATATCTAGACTAAATCATATAGCTAACATTTAAATTAAAAAAATGGAAAATACCCAAACCACATAACTTTTCTGATTCAAATTCAAATATTAAAATCCTTACAGTCACACAAAAACTTGATATCTGAATCTTTCACATGTTCAGATCGACTGGTACTGGAGTTTGGCTGTCATTGTCACCATCCTCTTCTGCATTCTGTATCTATAAATAAAGGTTATTATTAATAACAAGACATCAGAGTTAAGAAGTTTAATCTGAACTCAGGGATCTGACAAGATAGACAGTTTTAACTGCAGCTTTCCTGCTTACACTGTGATCATTAGGCTTATTTTGTAGTAATACCAATCAATGCAATTAAATAGAATTAAGTAAGTAGTACCTCAAAGCCATAGTCCTTGCACTGGGTTTTAAAGAATTTTTTGATCTCTTTTTCTTTATTTTTTCTCTCTTTTTCTTGCAGTCCTTCATGGTTCTTCCAGTAAACCCTAAGTATCTCATCAGAAAAGTGCTCTGGGAGAAGCTTGGACACCTGACATCAAGGACAGCAACATAAAACTGACATATAACACAGCCAATGTTGTCTTATGGAGATGCATAAAAAAAGAACAGAGCTCATAGAAATTAAGGGTATAGTTCTCACCTTTGATTTGGATATTGGGATTGCTTTGTCAGGCTTATCCTTGCGATAGAAAAATGCTTTACTGATGGGGTCATTGTCTTCCATCCCATAGTCCAAAGTGACATTCTAAAATGAAACGTTACAAAGAATCCTGTGTTTATATTCACATGTAAATAACAGTATGTAAACAGTGGAAGTTTAAAACATCTATTAAATAAAATGAACACAAAAAATATATCTGGATTTTAAGAAAAGTTTGATGAATTAATAAAACTCACAATAACTTCAAACTTGTCTTCACGAAAGCGTTTACTCAGTTTGTCTTTCAAATCTTTCTTCATCTCCTAAAGGATGGTGATAAAAATGTGTGTTATTAATATTATTTTGTTAATCTTGTTTTCTGATCTGTTCTCGTTCTTACCTCCAATTTTTTCTTTTTGTATTCTTTCTCAAGCTGAGAAAATGGAAAAATGGGAGGGAGAAGAAAAGTATTTATTCAAAGCACAATTGCTTGAAACCAAATGTTTAAAGAAAATCTCGTTTTCTTAATTTCTCAGTTTCAAACAGGATTTTTGTCACCCACAAAATTCAAGCTGTTTCAAAACTTCATCACAATAAATATTAATTTGCAGCTTGGTGTTTTAGTACATATATGGAAACTGACTCTTGTCTGAAAATAAGAACCGCTGTGTCAGCCTCTGATGACGATTTAGGTTATGTCTACATGTACATGGCTTCTTTGATAAACACAGCCTTTTATGTGCCTTTTGACTTTTTGCCAAAATGTAAACTGTTCTGTAAACTTCTTTCTCTTTTCCTTCCAGTAAACTCTAAGTATCTCCTCAAAACACCACTGTGGGGCAAACTTGCCATCAGGGACAGCAGCATAAAAATGACATATTACACAGCCCAGGGGCGTCACTAGGTTTTAAGGACAGGGGGGGGGCTTAGCCCCCAAGAGATTCACACGATATGAACGAACGTAGTGAATGAGCACAAAATTTCACAAACAGAAAACAAGACTGAGAAATTGTTTTCCTACTTTTTTGGACAGATTAAACATCCTAGGCCACCATTAGATCTATTGTTTTATTTCAGTCT